GTGTAATTTTTTTTTTTTTTTTTTTTTTTATTAATTTTTTTTCTTTCCTATTTTTATTTGCTTGTGTTTATATTATGTATATTTATTTTTATTTGTGTGTTATTTTGCAGTGAAAGAACCACGTGAACCTCGTATACCTCCGACTGTCTCGAACCGTAAGAAGAGGAAGGAATTATCCGATTAAGGCAAGGGCAAGGCAATCACGACCAAGAAAAAGACCACGCCCAAGAAGAAGTCTGGAGAGGGTTCTTCCTCAACGAATCCGATGCCGGCTCTTCCCTCGACTGTAGACGTTGGTGATTCGAGCAACGAACCGGTCAGAGGTCCCGAGATACCGGAATTGTACACAAATTTTGATAAGCACATTGCTTATCATATTGTGAACGGAGGTCCAGAGCGCTCGGAGCGCGGCTCAGAATTTCGAATTCGAAATCACACAGGAACTTTGAAAGGTTGGGTGCCGTTTATTACAGAGGTAGTACAAAGATGTGGATTAATGTCAGTTGTACAAGCATCGTACAACACTGTGGACGACCATCTACTTAGAGCCTTCATAGAGAGATGGCAGCCAGCTACCAACACATTTCATTTACCTGTTGGAGAGATGACCATCACACTTGATGATGTGAGTACGTTGGTCGGTTTGCCAGTTGTTGGGCGTACCGTATCTTGCGAGCGTTTGATCCGTGATTCCAAAACGAAGCCCAGTAGTTTGATGTTCGAGTTGCTAGGTGAGTACCCGGACGATGTAAACAAGAAGAAAGCGGTGAAGTTGGAATGGTTGAAGGCTAAATTTAGCAAAGTGACCATGAGAGACAGTGCGGAGAAGAGGACATACGCCATTCGGGCGTATTTGTTATTTTTTCTCAGGTGTACTATACTGTGCGACAAGACAGGCAACATGGTAAGAGTGGAGTATCTAAATCTCGTATCTAATTTGGATCGGATCGGCGAGTATGCTTGGGGCACTGCATGTCTTTGCCGGTTGTACGATGAGCTTTCGTCAGCCTCACAAAAATCAACGAACTCGATGGCTGGCTGGCTGACGCTCTTTCAGTCATGGATTTACGAGCACTTCCCTTATTTGGCGGGTGGCACATTGAAGACGGAATTCGAGGGGCCATTAGCGAGCCGATGGGAGCCTCAGTTAAAGACTACTTCAACGCCTGAACGAGCGTCGTACCTGCGATCTCGATTAGATGATTTGATCACCGATCAGGTAAAATACCAGTTTAATAATTTGTTATTACTACTTAAGTAGGTTTTTAAATCTAAATTTTTATTTATTTTACTAGGTTTTATGGTCACCGTATACGGCTATTCGTGATCGTTTCCCGATGCCAGATTCTGCTTGGTTTAGTGGGATGATATGTTGCATGGACCACTTCGAGGCATATCATCCGGACAGAGTGATGAGGCAGTTCAACCGGGTGCAAATTATTCCAGGTCGTGCATACATGTCAAAAGATATGTAAAAAGCTCTAGTTAACAAATGTCGATCGGTCCAGAACTCAATTTTCGTTGCGTACGGCGAACGATTCTCTGATCGGTGGGAGGAGTATTGTCTGGACGAGGAGTCGAGGTCCGTTGAAGTTGAACTCGGGGAGGCGGACACTTCGCCAGACTACATGAATTGGTTCCGACCTAGATGCATGTTACAACTGAGTAGGCATGGAGCCCATCCACCTCGACCCCAGGCGGATCGACCTCGACCACATGAAGCTCGTCCAGGGGGTGGTACCGATAAGGAGGTCCAACTTTCACAAATTTTGGAGTTGGTGAAGGGTACACTTAGCGAGGTGCGGGGACTTGCGCCATCCGACGCCCATACGGTCATGTGGGGGGCCCTAAATGATATTGTCAGATTGATCGAGCCGGATGCCCCACTTCCACCTCCATCGAGCTCGTCGGATGCCCCACCAGCACCTCCAGGTAGCTCGATAGGGCCAATTCCACCGCCATCGAGCTCGTCCGATGCCCCACGGGCGGTTGTGAAACGCGTGTTTAGTAGGAAGAAAAAAACACAGGATTAGTCTTGTGTGTTTTAAGCAATTTAGTTGATGGATTGTGTGTGGTTTAGATGGTTTTTTTTAGATGGATGTTGTTTGATGGATTTTATTTGATTTACTTGTTTTTTAATTTAGTTTTATATGGATTTTGGTTGTTTTAAATGAAAATATTTTTGATAATTTGAATTTTTTTTTTTTTTTTGGTCCAAAAACACTTAGAATATGTTTTTTTATGTTACATTGCAATATATTTGGGGTTAATTTCACAAAAAAAAAAAATTTGCAATTTAAAAAAAAAAAAAAAAAATTGCAATTTAAAAAAAAAAAAAAAAATTTGATACAGCTCAAATTCGACAGCTAGATGTTGAATTTAAGCTGTATCAATTTTTTTTTTTCGATAATTTGAAAAAAAAATTTGTTTGTCCAAAAACACTTAGAATATGTATTTTATGTTACATTGCAATATATTTGGGGTTAATTTCACAAAACAAATAAAAATTGCAATTTTTTTTCAAAAAAAAAAAAAAAAATTGAAACAGTTAAAATTCGACAGCTAGCTGTCGAATTGCTATTGAAATTGGACAGCTAGCTGTCGAATTTACACTGTTTAAAAAAATAATTTGATAATTTGAAATTTTTATTTTTTTTGTCCAAAAACACTTAGAATATGTTTTTATGTTACATTGCAATATATTTGGGGTTAATTTCACAAAACGAATAAAAATTGCAATTTTTTTCAAAATAAAAATAAAAATTGAAACAGTTAAAATTCGACAGCTAGCTGTCGAATTGCTATTGAAATTCGACAGCTAGCTGTCGAATTTACACTGTTTCAAAAAATGTTTTTTTTCGATAATTTGAAATTTTTATTTTTTTTTGTCCAAAAACACTTAGAATATGTTTTTATGTTACATTGCAATATATTTGGGGTTAATTTCACAAAACAAATAAAAATTGCAATTTTTCAAAAACACAACACTTAATAACATTGAAACTAGCACCAGTAACTTTACATAGTTTTGTTCGGAGAACTATCACCATTGTCTGATATAGTAATAATCTTGAAACTCTCTCGCGTGGCAACTTTTTGACCTATTAGTTCTCGGAATGCTGTAATCCGACCATCCATTTCTGCAGGCTTCCAACCATCAGCTTTAGGATCATGACATCGGTACCAATAATCGGCGATAGGAGGTATTGGACAATTATTGTTCAAGACAACATGCACGAAGTGACAGTTGTCGACGAATGCCATTCCGTGCTCTTGTCTCTCGCTGAAAAGCATTGGATCGCTCGATAGAGGAAGGAACGTAAGACACTGATACTTGGATAAGTAGACAAGCACAATATTGTATGTTGAAGCAATTACATGACCCATATTTGGAAAAGACATCCAATGATCACGAGTGGCAGGAACATCCCAGTTACTCACAATAGCTTGCATGCTTCTAACAGTTTCTTCGCCACGGTGCATGGTCGTGTAAGTGGAAAAATTAGAAGTCAACTCCCGTAGCGTGTCATCTCGCACTCGACCCCATTCATCTTGTCCAAATCCCATCATAGAGGCAACTGCCAGAAATCCACAGTGTCCATCTGAACCGACATTGATGATTTCTCGAACGTGCATACGAAATCGTGGATGGATCGTGTCAATGTACTTATTCTTGCCGATCAAACCTGGTGGCAATCCCACATCTGCATCTTCAAATAATGGTTTGAACGACTCTTGCGTCGGTATAGTGCTTTTTCCTGACTCTTGAGTTGTTATAGTGTTAATAGAATCATTCGAGTGCCCTCGTAATCTCATCAGTACAGGTATAAGCTGCAGTATATTACACTTCATTACTCAGCACAATTATAAAATACAACTTCAATGAAATGAGACGATAGTAGCGACATTTACCTTTGGAGAACAACTAGCTTGCTTCGATTTTTTTTTCTTTGGCTCCACATACTCAAAATGTGATTTGTCCCGAGTGCTTGATTTGTCTTTCCTATTTTTTGCCGGTCGACCTTTGCTAACAATTTTTTCACTTGGCTCCGTAAGGTTAGTCTTCTCTGGGTGGGTAAAATGTCTCAAATGGTTGCGCAATTGAGTTTTTGCATCGAGATCGGCACATTCAAAGAGCTTCTGGTATTCCGATAATTCTTCGTCGATGGTTGGTAGGATGACTTCGTTTGTGGTCGCGACGGGCTCCATGCTCATGTGTTTCCAATACGAGCCTATTAACTCAAGTGGGATAGGACATTTGTTCACAACAACATACTCATGAAGTTCATGGCAACATGGTAGACCGTGAGTTGTTCGAATGGCGCAACTACAACCCATATCGCTCGGTTGCAATAGTTTCGCATTGTCCACCTCAACTTTGAGTAGTTGCAGAGCGAATTTTGAGATACTTCCACGAAGCTCGTTGTATATCAACGTTTTGAAAGTGTGTTCGTAAGTATTTTTACTTACTTCAAAAGAAGCTTTGATGTCATTGTGTTGTTCGACAATTTGGTTGTGGACTTTCGTATGCAAATCCACAAAGGTGCCAGTTGAATTATGCACATCCCTTTTCATTCGTCTGTGTGCCCCCTCCACCCTATTAGAAGTGTACGTTCCAAAATGAGTACACTTATTTGTCCACACCGATACAAGTCTCTCCTTGTACGGATCCAACCATGAATTAGCTACATATTCTATAGCCGGGAGATAACCGATAAATGTTCTTTTCATTGACTCCCAATCCTCATTGAACTCCTCTATGGTATTTCTTTCAATAAGAGCCGAAAAAACCGACTGAAATTGCTTCCATTTGGTGATGTCCTTTGTGAACAATTTCTTACAATTGACCAATATATTCTTGTTCACATGCCACCGACACAGCAAGTGATGACTCGATGGATGCACATTGGCCACTGCTTTCATTAAAGCCAAATCTCGATCTGTTACAATGCAATTAGGCCGATGACAACTTGTCATGGCCTCCTTCAAACAACACAACGCCCATTCGAAATTTTCCGTCTTTTCGTGATCCAAGTATGCAAAGGCAATGGAGAACGTCTTGTTGGTACAAGTAAAACCCACAATCTCAAGAAATGGGAGTCCGTAACGATTGGTCTTGTACGTGCAATCGATGACGAATACGTACGGATACGACTTTGCCAACTTAATGCATTTCGGGTGGATCCAAAACAAGTCGGTAATCGCATTCAACTCGTTCGATCTATGGTACGAGAGGTATTCATCTTCTTTCAACTTGACGAACAATGATTGCAATTGAAATCTCCCATCCAATTCACTGAAATTTAACTTAGAGATAGTATTGTAAACTGTCTTCATACCAGTTACATTAGACGGGTCCTTTTCCTTCAATGCTCTTAGAATTGCCCTTGGTTTCACCATTGCTTTCTTCATAGTGTGAACGAAGGAAACCTGCTCCTTTGATAATCTTCCAGCATAAGAGTGTCCGTGCAAGTTTTCGAATAAGTTGTGGTTGTGAATACCACTATAAACATCCAATTTCCACTCAGCCTTTTCATTATCCTTGGATTCTTTTAACCCCTTCAATTTAAACGGACAATTGCATTTCTTTGAACCGGTGCTCCTTTTTCCCGGTCTTTGATCATCTTCACCTGGTACCTTCTTGCCAACATAATGGCCCCCACGCTCACAACGAACAATCACATACGGTGTCCTACGTCCTCTATCCCCGTCACTCGAACCCGCAATCATTAACACCATTCCAATTCTTTTACATACTTCACGAACCTATGCCAATAAAGCTTCTTTGTTGGGAATTTTTCTGACGTGGTAAATGAATGGGTGCAATCGATCTACACAAAAGTGTCGAAAATATAAGACAAGTAAATTTGCAATATGAACAATTTTCGGCGCCTAAGTGTCGAAAATTACCACAAAATTCGACACTTAAGTGTCGAAAATGACCACAATTTTCGACACTTAAGTGTCGAATTTTGCTACAATTTTCGCACTTAAGTGTCGAAAACATGGGTCATTTTCGACACTTAGGCGTCGAAAATTGTAGCAAAATTCGACACTTAGGTGTCGAAACTGAATACAATATTAATTGTTATGTTTTTCGACACATACATGTCGAAAATTAGGCATATTTTCGACCTGTATGTGTCGAAAATCGGTGACGAGTTTAAAAAAAAAAATCAAAATCGATGTTTTAGCTCAAAAAATACATGAATACATACCTTAATGGGTTCTCCTTGCTCGTAAACTACCATTCTATTGTCATTTGACGCCATTTTGCAAGTTGTGTAAGGTTTTGATTTCTTTTGTTTTGAGGTTTTTTAGAAGGGTTTTTGGGGAGGGAGAAGAAGGAGGTGGAGGAGGTGAGGGGTTTGTGAGTGAGGAGGGAAATGTTTGTTTTAGGGTTTTTGATTATTTGGTATTTAAGAAAGAAAAATAGTGTTTGTAATATTTTTTTGGTTTTAATTTTCATTAAGGG